CACCCACATACACCTACAATGTATATCTCATTGGCCTACAGAGTACATCCACATACACCTGCAATGTATATCTCATGGGCCTACAGAGTACACCCACATACACCTGCAATGTATATCTCATGGGCCTACAGAGTACACCCACATACACCTACAATGTATATCTCATGGGCCTACAGAGTACACCCACATACACCTACAATGTATATCTCATGGGCCTACAGAGTACACCCACATACACCTACAATGTATATCTCATGGGCCTACAGAGTACACCCACATACACCTACAATGTATATCTCATGGGCCTACAGAGTACACCCACATACACCTACAATGTATATCTCATGGGCCTACAGAGTACACCCACATACACCTGCAATGTATATCTCATGGGCCTACATAGTACACCCACATACACCTACAATGTATATCTCATGGGCCTACAGGGTACACCCACATACACCTACAATGTATATCTCATGGGCCTACAGAGTACACCCACATACACCTACAATGTATATCTCATTGGCCTACTGAGTACACCCACATACACCTACAATGTATATCTCATATACCTACAGAGTACACCCACATACACCTACAATGTATATCTCATGGGCCTACAGAGTACACCCACATACACCTACAATGTATATCTCATGGGCCTACAGGGTACACCCACATACACCTACAATGTATATCTCATGGGCCTACAGAGTACACCCACATACACCTACAATGTATATCGCATATACCTACTGAGTACACCCACATACACCTACAATGTATATCTCATTGGCCTACGGAGTACACCCACATACACCTACAATGTATATCTCATATACCTACTGAGTACACCCACATACACCTACAATGTATATCGCATTGGCCTACAGAGTACACCCACATACACCTACAATGTATATCTCATTGGCCTACAGAGTACACCCACATACACCTACAATGTATATCTCATATACCTACTGAGTACACCCACATACACCTACAATGTATATCGCATTGGCCTACAGAGTACACCCACATACACCTACAATGTATATCTCATTGGCCTACAGAGTACACCCACATACACCTACAATGTATATCCCATGGGCCTACAGAGTACACCCACATACACCTACAATGTATATCTCATTGGCCTACAGAGTACACCCACATACACCTACAATGTATATCTCATGGGCCTACAGAGTACACCCACATACACCTACAATGTATATCTCATGGGCCTACAGAGTACACCCACATACACCTACAATGTATATCTCATGGGCCTACAGAGTACACCCACATACACCTACAATGTATATCTCATTGGCCTACAGAGTTCACCCACATACACCTACAATGTATATCCCATGGGCCTACAGTGTACATCTGTCAACAGGGAAAGGATGTATCGGGCCCGGGGAGTGCGGCTGCACCTACACGTGTAAATATGGCGCCTGTCGTAACGGTCAGTGTGTGTGTTGGGAGGGCTACAAGGGCGACGACTGCTCCCACTACGAGGCCAGCATGTGAGTCGGATTACAGAATGGTTAAATGTGTCCAGTACAAAACCCTTCTTATACCACACGCATTTCATCTTGATAAATTAATTCTGCACATATTACGAGCATTGTTATTGTCATAAAACGTCAAATCTAGCGGAATATACCGTTCAGCTAATATGATTTTTCTGGCAACAAAGTCAACAAGTAAACTGAGGGAGATAGTATTGCTCAAAGTCACAGCAATACCAGCCATCAGTGAAGATCCGGGTTAGAATTGGTCTTCAGTAAACTATGCTTGTCGTAAGGGGCGACTAACGGGATCGGGTGGTCAGGCTCGTTGACTTGGTTAACACATGTCATCGGTCCCCAATTGCGTGGATCGATGCTCATGCTGTTGATCACTGGATGGTCTGTTCCAGACATGATTATATACAGGCCGCCACCATATAGCTGGAGTAGTGCTGAGTGCGGCGTTATACAAACCAAGCTGAACCGTGCTAGTGCTCGAAGAGTCCTTAAAATACCCAAATGGTCACTGGTACATATCATTAATTTGTATTTCGCTGTGCAGAGCTGCGTCCCTTGCGTGTCTGAGCATGCGTTTGTGTACTGGTGCCGTTGTACAAAGCAACTTTAGTGTTTCGCCAGTCGTAAGTCTATGTTATGGTTTGGGAGTTACCATCACCTTAGCGCAAAGAGACCTTTGTACAGCGACACCCTGATTATGAACCTCTGTGTAAGCTTGAGCTGTGTTTCGCCAGTGTTCAAAGTCCACAACAATGAGCTATTCTCATGCAACAAGCACAGACACCTTCTTACACATCATGCTAAAGAAAAGTGTTAAACTGCTTTTCCTTGCCTAAAAAAATCATTTTACGCCGGTTATACCTTCGAGGGCCTGAACAAATGCTGAGGCGACAATTATATATCAAATAGCCAGCTTCGCCTCCAACACTGAAATCTCTTCAAGTTGGAGGAATAACACAGTGATTACTGTGTTAGCTCGTCATGCCGGGGTTCCGGGTTCGATTCCGACACTGGCACAGTGTGTATAGTTCTTTTCGATTCCACCCTCTGTGATATCGTTAAAGTCTCATAGTGAAAACCCATTCACTCACTCACTCACTCAAACATCCCCGCAGCATGATGAACCATGGCGTGTCAGTGGGGATCAACCTCGCCGACAACGACTACTTCAGTCCCGAGGTGAACTTCGTGGACATCCACAAGCAGTCCCAGAGCTGGCTGACACAGAGGGTGGGAAGCAACGCGTGGGACACCAAGGAACAGAGCCACATCCATTGGAGGCCTGACGGGTACCCAGCAAGTCTGCAGCGTAAGGTCATTTCATTAACATCAAGGGGAGGTGAAAGGTGACATAGGTTCTTCCTCTCCTACAGCCTCGTGCATTCAGTGGACGTTTTCGGCTGCTTGTGCTAGTCACGATTACGTTTTTTGATTTTTTTTATCAATGTATAATTCCTCTAGCGCTATGATTACACAATATGCCATTTAGAAAGTGGTCAAGTGGTCTCAGTAAAGTACAGATTCTAGCACTTTTGTTGAGTTGAGTCCCATCCGGGATTCGAACTCACACCCTCTTCCACTATCGCTAGCCAAGGTAACACTGCGTTCCAACTTTTCTGTTTTTGTGGTACGTCATAGTCAGGGGATCGAACCAGTAAAAAACCAAAGAATCAATAAAAATCAAATCGCAAATGATCTCGATTATTGTTGTTTACTATCTATTTCAGCCAATCAGAAGTTGGTTCAACTTGAAATGCGCGGCTTCGCTTCTCACGAACCCTCGGGGCAATACACAATCCTGTATGACGGCGAAGGGGAGGTAGATGTGGGACTAACAGAGCACCACACTGTTCATGATGGAAAAGGTAACATGCATTGATTAAAGGATACGTATGACACGTGTCATGTCTCCCCAATAACTGAAGTTGTGGTGGTGGAATTGGGTTTAACGTCGTGCTTGAGAATATTTCGCTCATATGACGATGTGCATGCGTGTGTATGTGTATGTGCGATTGCTTGTACTAGCTGGTTTTATAGTGCTAGCCCACTGAGATACCATGCCGCAGTGAAGCATGAATATCCCACTCAGACACATTATACTGACTCCCAGCCGACCAGTCCTTGTTGTACCCATTAATGCCGAGCGTCAGGCAGGGACCAACAAGACGCGGTCGGGGATCGAACCCGCGACCTTCCGCACTCCGGGCGGACGCTCTAACCACTACACCACGGAGGCGGTCCCAATAACTGAAGTGGGCGGTGGAGTAGCCTAGTGGTTAAAGCGTCCGCTTGTCACGCCAAAGACCCGGGTTAGATTCCCCACATGGGTGCAATGTGTAAAGCCCATTTCTGATGTCCCCCGCCGTGATGTTGCTAGAATATTGCTGAAAGTAAAACCATACTCACACACTCATTACGAATAACTGAATACACAGTTACGCCCCTTTGCACTCCGCGCACGTTTGACTCTGATTATGATAATTTCCGCGTCATCCCGATACTCGTCGGTTGCATTTAACCTCTACTGCACACGTCACGTTATTACAAAACTGACTCACTGAGATCTTGATTAGAATTGATCTTTAGTTGCATGTATGATGCTCATGCTGTTGATCACTGGATTGTCTTGTCATGACTCGATCATTTATTGCTGAGTGCGGCATTTAACAACACACAAACAATCTCTGGCTCTCTCAATGCAGGGTGATAGCACATCTGACACAGAATAGTGGGTATCATACTTGTCCAAATGAACACATTTTTTTTATTGAGAGTAAAAATTGGGACTTCAAAAGTGTCTCGGTTGTGTTGTCTGCAACAAAATTTTCAAAGAGTAATTTATGGGTTAATATTTATCATACAGCTCGTCAACCATTCATTTGGCATTAGTGAGTGAGTGAGTTTAGTTTTACGCCGCACTCAGCAATATTCCAGCTATATGGCGGCGGTTTGTAATTAATCGAGTCGTGACCAGGTAATCCAGTGATCAACAGCATGAGCATCGATCTGCGCAATTGGGAACCGATGACATGTGTCAACCAAGTTAGCGAACCTGACCACCCGATCCCGTCAGTCGCCTCTAACGACAAGCATAGTCGCCCTTTGCGGCAAGCATGGGTTGCTGAAGACCTATTCTACCCCGGATCTTCACGGGTCTCATTTTGCATTAGGGGCGGTTGGGTAGCCTAGTGGTTACACTCGTCACGCTGATGGCCCGGGTTCGATTTCCCCACATATACAGGTACAGTCTGTGGGTAAAATTTCTGGAATACTGCTAGTAGCAGCGTAAAATCATTTTCACTCACTCGCTCACCCAAACCCACTCACTCACTCACAACTCATTTGGTTTAAAGGATAACGACAATTACTGAATTGTGAATCATCTCCGTACTTCGATTTTCTAGGTAGGTTAGTGGTCAACATGCCCAAAATCGGCGATGGGGGTTTCACAATAGTAGTTCTGAGAACAAATCCCAGGAACCCGATCCACAACATCCGGGTACTTCCTCCAGGATACGAGTACGTGTACGAGAGGTTTCCCCTTTCATCCCGTCTTCTTAGAGAACCTCAAAAGATTCTCGGAGATCAGATTCATGGACTTCATGAAAACCAACGCCCATGAGGTAAATAAATGCAGTGAAATGGAACATATGCTATATTTGGAATTTAACCATTTTGTAAACATTTAAAGTTTGAACTCCTCATGTAATTCAAAACTCATAGTTTCACGAGGACGATGATCCTCCTCATAATGGTTAAACACGACTTTCACCATATGCAATAATCCACCATAGACTGTATTGAAATAGCTGGAATAGTTGGGAAGAAGAGGATGTTAACTCACTCACTTCACGTTCCAGCCCGAGCCGACGACTTGGACGACACGCCGCAAGACTGACTACTACTCACAACAGGGTCCGTACGGAGCCGCAGTGGAGCATATGATACGCCTGGCAAACACTCTTGGAGCCAACCCCTGGTTCAACATGCCTCATGCGGCAGATGACGACTATATCAGGAACTTTGCACTACTTGTAAAGAAGGATCTAAGGCCTGACCTAAAGGTAGGAATTCTGCTTTACTGAAAGAAATCTGTTGGGTAGCTAGAACTTTGCACTACTTGTAAAGAAGGTGAGGTGAGGTGAAATTGGGTTTTACGTCGTACTTGAGAATATTTCGCTCATATGACGATTGTAAAGAAGGATCTAAGGGCTGACCTAAAGGTAGGATTTGAATACAACCTATTTATCGTAGTGTGCATCGAGTAAATCTTGTGTTTATCCAGGTGTACATCGTGTACATCATGTGTTTATCCCGGTGTACATCCTGTGTTTATCCAGGTGTGCATCGAGTACATCCTGTGTTTATCCAGGTGTACATCGAGTACATCCTGTGTTTATTCAGGTGTACATCGAGTACAACCTGTATGTATCCAGGTGTGCATATCGTGCATCTTGTGTTTATCCAGGTGTGCATCGAGCACATCCTGTGTTTAAACAGGTGTCCATCGAGTACATCTTGTGTTATCCAGGTGTGCATTGAGTACGTCCAGTGTTTATCCAGATGCAAATACAGTACATCTTGTGTTTATCTAAGTTACATCGTGCACATCCTGTGTTTATCCAGGCGTATATCAAGCATATATTGTGTGTATCAAGGAGTACATATAGTACATCCTGTTTTATCCAGATGCACACACAGTACATCTTGTGTTTATTCAGGTATACATCCTGTGTTTATCCAGGTGTACATCGAGTGGATCCTGTGTTTATCCAGGTGTACATCGAGTACATCTTGCGTGAATCCAACTGTATATCGAACACACATTGTGTTTATCTAGATGCCCATACAGTACATCCTCTGTTCATCCATGTGTGCATCGAGTTCATGCTTTGTTATCCAGGCGTATATTGAATACAGCCTGTTTATCCAGGTGTGCATCGAGTGCATCCTGTGTTTATCCAGGTGTACATCGAGTACATCCTGTGTTTATCCAGGTGTACATCGAGTACATCTTGTGTGAATCCAACTGTATATCGAACACACATTGTGTTTATCTAGATGCCCATACAGTACATTCTCTGTTCATCCATGTGTGCATCGAGTTCATGCTTTGTTATCCAGGCGTATATTGAATACAGCCTGTTTATCCAGGTGTGCATCGAGTGCATCCTGTGTTTATCCAGGTGTGCATCGAGTGCATCCTGTGTTTATCCAGGTGTACATCGAGTACATCTTGTGTGAATCCAACTGTATATCGAACACACATTGTGTTTATCTAGATGCCCATACAGTACATTCTCTGTTCATCCATGTGTGCATCGAGTTCATGCTTTGTAATCCAGGCGTATATTGAATACAGCCTGTTTATCAAGGTGTGCATCGAGTGCATCTTATGTTTATCTAGGTGTACATCGTGTACATCCTGTGTTTATCTAGGTGTACATCCAGTGTATATTCAGGTGTACATCGTGCACAACCTGTGTTTATCCAGGCGTATATCGGGCATATATTGTGAATCCAGGTGTACATACAGTACATTTTGTTAATCAAGGTGTACGTAGAGTACATTCTGTTTATCCAGGTGTACATAGAATACAAAGAAATTTAGGCTATCACTAGCAAGATTCCGGTGTTCATGTCATGATTTGTTGATTGAAAGCAGTGGATATAAAAACGTTATAAAAGACGATAGAATATGTACATTTGTACCTGAAATGAAATTGAAGATGAATATCACTTTCTTCTCATCTGTCCATCGTATAATTCAATACGCTGTAAATATATCAAAAGGTATTACTATGTCCATCCAAATATAAAATTCTCTACTCTACTACAAAATTTACAAATTCTTGCCATGTTCATTCACTCTGCAATGTTGTATAGAACAAAAGTTTTATCACTGTGATGGAAATATATCTATTTATGTAATTCCCCATCATAACTGTATATGTACTATAGGCCTGTGGCCTCTTCAGTACGAAATAAAGATTTACTGGTTGATTGATAGAGTACATTGTGTTTATCCAGGTGTACATAGAGTACATTGTGTTTGTCCAGGTGTACATCGAGTACATTGTGTTTATACAGGTGTACATAGGGTACATTGTGTTTATCCAGGTGTACATCGAGTACATTGTGTTTATCCAGGTGTACATAGATTACATTGTGTTTATCCAGGTGTACATCGACTACATTGTGTTTATCCAGGTGTACATCGAGTACATTGTGTTTATCCAGGTGTACATCGAGTACATTGTGTTTATCCAGGTGTACATTGAGTACATTGTGTTTATCCAGGTGTACATAGGGTACATTGTGTTTGTCCAGGTGTACATCGACTACATTGTGTTTATCCAGGTGTACATAGGGTACATTGTGTTTATCCAGGTGTACATCGAGTACAGTGTGTTTATCCAGGTGTACATAGAGTAAATTGTGTTTATCCAGATGTACATCGAGTTCATTCAGTTTGTGTTTATCCAGGTGTACACAGGGTACATTGTGTTTATCCAAGTGTACATCGAGTACGTTCAGTTTGTGTTTATCCAGGTGTACATAGGGTACATTGTGTTTATCCAGGTGTACATCTAGTACATTGTATTTATCCAGGTGTACATCGAGTACTCTAACGAGGTGTGGAACCCTATCTTCCGTCAACACGCCTATGCCATGGAGCAGGGCACGAAGCTGAACCTGGACCCGGCAGGCTGGAAGGCGGGGATGAAGTTCTACAGTAGGAGGGCCACACAGGTGGCAGACATATGGCGTCAGGTAATAACTAAGTGAACTCCACATTACATGTCGTGCAGACAACATCATGAACAGAACTGTCACAGGATGACATGTGAGGTGCATCAAGTTGGCTGCTCTGTGTTCACATACTGTAATCAAATCTCCGCAATTAGTTTTGATGCTGACCCAGCAAAGAAACATACAACGAAAGGCAAAACAAAAATATGCAAAGTCTTTGAACGTCATTTAGAAGTGAAACGCATAAAGGCGAACATTTATGGATGTCAACTTCTTTATTTTGACGAACATGACGTATATTCTTACTCCTTCATCAGGTGAATGAAAAACTAGGAACAGTTAACTATATAAAAACATGCGAAACAACAACAGTGATTACATAACAAGGAAAGCCAGTAGGTTTTGGCGCTGATTGGTAATGGACAAATAGATATATTATTAATCCAGTCATCAATGAGTTACCATGAATAAATTATGTCCAAAGAAAGGTAAAATAATTAATAGAATCCGTACTTAATAATTGTGAGGTGTTTCTGTAAACCAAATAGACCAAATGTTGCAACCCCACCCCTGACCCCTATTGTTTTGAACTTCCACTAAATTCTGAATGAAAACGATCATTGTGTCAAACTGTCTGACTGATTACATTGTTGGAACTATTCCATCCTGTATTAATGAACTGCTCTGGTTATCGAGGTGTACGGATCCATCAGCTCCAGGCTGTATCCAGTGTTCTCCTGGCAGACAGGGTTCCAGGACTACTTCAGGCAGGCTGTCGATGCTGTGGGCAGCAAGATCAGCAGCTTCAAGGCTCTCGCCATCACTGGATACTTCTCATGTAACAAAGTAGCCGATGACCACGTGAGTACATAGTATGGAGTGAGTGATGCTGTGAAAATTTGGTCTGGCCAGACAAGACGTGACAGAACTAGGAAGAGCGAGCTACGGCCTCGATGTAGGATGTCCTCTTATTTGGACCTGTTCTGAAGACGATAGAGGCTCTGGGAACAAGTGTCTTGTTTGCAGTATACCGTACAAAGCCTGTAAACCTACACTAAACACCGAATCCTTTCGCGTTGTTCTCGCAGTTTCAAACTACCCGCACTTGATTAAAATTTCCAAATGCCGACCTGATAGGCTACGCTGCTAGGTCTGATGAACCAATCGGAATGCGCGTTACAAACCTGTCTCATTATATGGTTAGAGATAGGGCCCGAAAGTAGGTTACGGCACTTCGCCAGACCTTATGTTGTTTAGTACTTTCGGTGACAAACAACGTCTCATACCTTTTCGAATGGTCTCATGGTTGTCAGTTGACAGTAACGAACGAATAATCCTTGCAGGAATAACAAATTTCCGAGCTAACCATCCCCACATTAGCCAACTATTACGACTGTCAACAGCTGTGACAGTCAAGCATGGTTATACACTTGGTCAGGTCTAGTAAAATCATTTTGGCGGTCGCGCAATTTGGAACCAGAGCTTGTCACCGGAAATCTGGAACCGGAAGTAAGCTGGACCCCGTCACGCATATCGCAAGTTGACGCGCACAAAGAGAGCCGGGAACCCACGAAGTACCCATGAGGTAGCGCCCTCGCAAGACTTGCAGGCCCTATATCCACAACGTAAGGACCAGTTCCATGGTTTATGATAATGTTTTCGAGTAATTCGATATTGAAATACTGACTGACACGCAAAAGTCCTCAAAACTTTTTGATGGAAAGCAGATCTCCATGTTCATTAAAACTGGCCATGGCTTTAGTAGGAAATACGAGGTATCGCCCTTATTCGTTATACTTTCTCCTATGTCGACGTTTAATTGGTTGACAAATCAATGGCCGACAAAATGAGTCGCATGAACGAGAAGAATAGATTCAAGTGTATGTGTGATAATATAACTTTTATCCATATATAACCATATATAAGCGCCTTTGAGCTGCTGAGCTGGATATCGGCGCTATACAAATGTTAGCATGATGATGATGGTGATGATGATGATGGTGATAACTACACACGAAAGAAAGTGTTGAAAACAGGAAGCACAATTTACATGATAATGATAATGTCTTATAATGTTTTATTGCACATGTTTGTTGGTCAAGTTTGATGTAACGTGTTCGTCCTCATGAATGGATTCGAGGGTAGGCTGTCAATATTGAGATATAAAAACGCAGTTTAATTATTGTGAGCAAAGACCACTCGCAGTTTTAGCGAGTAATTCTATAATTAAGATAGTCGTAAGTTAATGTTAATGTATGTCACTTACGACTATCTTAGCGCTAAGAGAGCTTCGAAAATCTAGGCCCTGGTCAATAGTCAAGTTAGCACCGATGTTGCGACAGGACACCCCTGCGCCATGCATGCCAATAACGTGTCATCGTGTCAACATCTTGCCATGAAACAAAAGAATTACAGCATTGTCGTCGTTTGAATCAGTTTAAAAACCTGTAGTCCACATACTGCTTTTATAAAATTAATACCCAGATGTGCTTGGTACCTTCGCAGCACGTGAACATAGCTTTAATGTGCTTTGTATGTTAGGGTATGGTCGTCTGTTTTGACCCAAAATTTTGTTAATTGCACTTGAATTCAGGTGGTGCTAGATCATTGCTCATTTGTAGTATAGAGCTTATGTGAAGGGCGTGGACCATGTACATAACAAATGTATATTCCTCAGGGAGCTGAGATGATCCACATGTCGATGGCCCAGATACAACAGTACTGCAAGAACGAGCTTCCAGCCATGCAGAAGTCCTTCGAGTACTTCATGAATTTAGCCAAGGTAGTGTCATGGATCTGGTCGTTCTGTCAGTCACACAGTAGTACGTGTAGGAGGTCAGATTTAAAACTGATCTGAAGCAAATATCAACAATAATGGTGATAATGAGTTACCTGAATGATACTTACATGTTGGTAATCGTGCTGTAACATTTAATTGCATTTATATACAGGAATGTAGTTATGCCTCTTTTTAATTTTCGTAAAAACTAATCTTTTAAAAGTATTGCCTGTCGGGTGACATTAAGACACTATATTTTCCTGAAGGATGAGGCCAAAGGTAGAAAGTATTCGCAAGATCAGATCTCTTACATGGTTTCGCAATCTGTCTTTTCAAGATCTGACCAACTGTCATGGGATTTGAATTCTGTGACCTACAGTGTAGTTCTTTAACTTTGAGCTATGAACATGCCTTTACATTTATATGTTAATTGTCGGATCCGTTAATGAAATAATTAAAATAAACCTATTTTACATTTCTATCACTTTATGCAAATGAATCTTCTTCCATCTCATTCCAGTCATTCCGCCTCCTTTAGCAATATTCCAGCAATTTGACGGCGGGGGACACCAGAAATGGGCACATGTGGGGAATCGAACCCAGGACTAGGGACTCCCCACCGCCCAAATCTTACCTCAGACTTTGACCAGAGTACCGTAGTTATACCATGGGCGTAATCAATCGCTGACAACATTCATATGTTCATAACTGAAACTTATCTGATTAATCTCTTTCCATAGACGCACCACTTGCAGTTAGTGATGTACGAAGGGGGGCCGTCAGTGATGCAGAATAAGGTATTTAACGGTGACGCTTCCAACCAGGCCATCACAGACAAGGCTATCGCCTTCAACAGGGACAGCCATATCGAACAGCCCCTTACAGACGTCATGAACCTCTGGTATAGCACCGTCACCCAGAATACCAGCAATAAATACCCAGGTAGGTTCCTTATGACTGAGTGAACGTTGTTTCAAGATGAGTATTTATTGAGTATGGTTTTACGCAGCTTTTAGTAATATTCCGGCAATATCACGGCTTGGGACACCAGAAATGGGCTTCACACTTTGTACCCTTGTGGGGAATAGAACCCGGGTCTTGGGCGTGACGAGCGAACGCTTTAACCACAAGGCTACACCACCGCCCATCGATATGAGTGAAGTAGTGGTGTGTGGCATCAAAATCAGCACTGATCGGCAAGTTTGCTGGGATTTACTGATACATTGATACATCCAGTCCGATCATAATCTATAATAGTCCTTTCTCACCTCCTTCTTGTATTCCCGAGTGTTTGGTAAATTGTTCATGTAACACACTTCCATGTGTTTGTGGACAACACAGCATCTGCAGCCAAATCTCTTGTAGACAGGTCCCCATCAGTCTGTGCTTGCTTTGTTTGTTGTTTCACGCCGGACCCAGCAATATTCCAGCTATATGGCGACGGTCTGTAAATAATCGAGACTGGACCACACAATTAAGTGATCAGCAGTATGAGTATCGATCTACGCAACTGAGATTCGATGACATGTGTCAAACAAGTAAGCGAGCGTGACAACCCGGCCCCGTTAGTCGCCTCTTACACGATACTGGATCAAGTGGATAGAGACAGTTGACATTGTAGATTGCATGTCGTCACATTCTGAATGGATGGGACGTTGAGCTATCAGTGCTGTGGTAGTCTAGTTGTTAGGGGTGGGTATTGCAGAGAATTTTCACACTGCGATATATTGCGATGCGAAAGCATATATTGCGATATGTATTGCAATATATTGCAAATAGTATTTTTAAACAAAAAACTACCTATAATCGAGTTAATGCTTGATATATAAAGCATGAACACAACAAAATCACAATGCTTGATTAAGCTTTATTAGAAACTTTTAATCATGACAAAATATAAATGTAAATAATATTTGGCACAAATGAAACAAGAAAATATCCGAAGATTTCCTGTAAACCGGTTATATTGCGCAGCCCTACTAGTTGTTAAAACTTTTCTCATCACACCCAAGTCCCGGGTTCGATCCCCCAACTCCCTAGAATGCGTGAAGCCGATTTCTGGTGCGGCGGAAGACCTCACTCACTCACTCATTCACTCTTAATCAAGGTCATCTTCCTACAGATTGAAGAAAACTAAATGAGACGTTACACCATACTCCAAAATAGTGAAAGACACCCTTATATATCTTATTGGCATGGCAGATAAACTGTAGTAATGAAAGAATCGGATGGCACTCAATGTTTCAGCGTTATATATAGACAGTGAACCAGATAGAACCTTCATGGCATAAACAGGAAAGACGTTGACAACGACGACTCTGTTTCAGGCGGCCTGTTCAACTACTTCTCCTACACGTCCACCCCCAGCAAGTACGGCAGCTGGGGCATCCTGGAATACACCGGCCAGGACCCCAACACCGTCCCCAAGTTCAGAGCCGTACAGAAGTTCATAACTGACCATTACAAAAATAACGTTCTCGGGCCGAAGTGCAGCTTTGTTAATAATGGGGCGCTGGCCTATGGGTGTTTTCAACACGCGCCCGGGAACTTCCAGTGTGGTCAGACTAGCGACAGTGGCAGGACGTGGAGTGTAAGACTTAATTCCAAATTATTCAAAACATACATTCTTCATTCTATCTCATCCCGTCTGCCACCAAGTAATCAGAAATGTCGTCATCGTTAACTCGTCGTATATTGAGAACATCTCGTCATCTAGTGTAAGGTGAATTGTTTTTGTAGGTGCCGATAAATGAACTGTGGTCTGCAAACGATGATTCGATTCGGTCACAAATTTGAGTTAACAAATTTTCACTTTGAACTAAGAAATACATAAAAACACTCAAATGCTTGCTGTGTCTGTGAATATATTGTAACAAGGTTCCACTTTTACATAAAGCATACCCGTGCTTAGGTGTACTTGTGAAAACATTGAAGCGGTGCCTATTGTGAGAGAATTGTTTTGAGTTATGAGTCGTTGTCCGAATCTTGGGCGCATTCCATAGTATAGTATGACCAGAAATTATTGAGAATTTTAGGAATATGTTTAATTGGATTTCTAGTATAAACAACCTTGACCAGCTATCAAGTGCTTGGTTTCATTCAAGAGAGACAACTCCGTTAATCCTTTTTTCATTAGTTTGTGAAGAGTTATCCCCCTTCGTTTACTTGCTAGCAGACGACATTTTCAGTGATCCTCAGTATGGATGATGTAGAGAGAAGGAAGTTGATTTTAGAGTATTATAACAAGGACATCAGATCAGCTAAAGTGATTTCGAGTAGAACAGGTATCCCTTTATCCACTATTTATCGTGTTTTGAATATTATAGGCCCAGAAAATTGACTGTCAGTGACAGGAGGCGGCTTGGTATTCTTGTTTCTAAAAAATAAACGATGGAGTTTAGAAAACTTAAGGCTGGATATGATTGATGGAGGAACTGTTGCTGGAGACAATTAGAACTGAGCTGCATGCAATGGGTTGGCAGAAAAGTCGAGGAATTCCAGCGCCCAAAGTACAGTCCGAAATTTAACGTGTGAGTTGGCATATCTGTGTTAGGGGCAACGCCTCTCTGTGTATTTGAAGGGAATATGAACACTGAGCAGTCCACAGATATTCTCGAGGGACATTTACTTCCATCTGCTCACGTGTTCTATGGAAATTTTGGGATTTTCCAGCAGGACAACGACCCAAAACATCGTCCAAAGCGTGGTTTTCTGTTTTCAATTTAAATGGATTTGTTTTATCACAAGTATATATACCCAAAGAACTTAGTTAAGCACCCAATGGCATATCTCACGATTGAATGAGCCCCGATCTTAACCCTTTGGAGCTTATCTGGGACATGATTTGTCGTCGTGTGCATTAAAGGGATCCTCCTGTACAGAACCTGACCCAGTTGGAGCCTTGCTGTGCAGTCATATGGAGGTTACACTCGATATGGACCTTGAATCGTGTACGACACGCAAAATGATATTTTGGATGTGGTTTCGGACCCAAAATATGACATTATTAGATTTGCCAAGCTATAGCCCTGACCTAAATCCAATAGAAAATGTTTGGGGACTTATGAAGGAAAGTGTCAATAAGAAAAATCTGACAAATATTGCTGAAATGAAAGAAGAGGTGGTCCGATATTGGGACAGCATGGGCCACAACTTTCTAAGTTCTTTGATAAGTAGTATGCCCCGCCGCATTGAAGCCTGCATTGCTGCCCATGGTGACTTGACAAAATACTAACTGTTCACCTGTCTTTGAATCTGGAGTTATGTTCTGCTAATATTCACATTTAATACGTGAGTAATGAGTGAAAAAAATAACAAAAATTACAATCTTTAAATTCTCAATAATTTCTGGTTGTACTGTATATGAATGCAGGATTATTTCTAATTACATGCTCATTTTCGCAAAACATCAACATATTGAACTTTTGAAGAGTAGGGTTTACATACAATTAGTATTTAGCCGGTTACAACTGTTTCCCAAGATCATCATACATCTGCCACACTAACAAAAATGGAATTCACTTTCGAGGTAATCCTGTTTACAAGTACAGCATGTAATCTGGTCACGAGGGGTTTTATCATATCTTCCAGACACAGTATGCAGTGTATGGGAACTATATCTAAATCATTTACACCGAGTGGTAGTGATAAGAAATCTTAGAAAATAAAAAGAGCCCTTAATCCACGAATCTTACAATTCTAACATCCATTGCCGTAGTTTGCTCTAACGTCGTGCTTGTTGTTTGCAGCATCAATCGAACAATTATAGGTTTTGTTCATTTTTAGTTTTACATTAAAATACTTTTGTAGACTTACCCATCTGTGGGTCAGAAGCACATGGAGTACATGGTCCTTGACGGATTCGACCCCCAAAGTCGTCACCTGTATATCCGCCACGTGAACACCCTTGGGGCCAACACACACCACGTGTACAACACCCAGACACGGTCATGGTCGACGTGAGTTTAATGTTTATGTTTCATCGTTCTACTGAGATCACAAAAACATCTCCAACCGCAAGCTGTCAGATTGAGTTCATCAAATTGTACGCAGGACACGTTTCAAGAAGGCAAACAAATGCTGTCTTTATAGGACATTTACTACATGGTAACACTCGATAAGGTATATTGAATTGGAAATCTGATCATCTGACAAATTGCTGAAGACGATGTTGCTACTCAAATTACCGAACTGGATCAAGGTACGTTCACACGTTGCGACTTGGCGTAATAACTTGTCGCACAGTGTAATCGTCAGAACACCCTTATCGTAACGATGTAAAATCTCACACAGCTATTGCAGCCGAGTTGTAAGACATAGGATTTGTCTTAATTCCTACTTCAAGTCTAAAGCTCTCGGCCTGTCAAATCCCTTAGATGTGTGTTCAACTTAGAGTGACTTAGAGTCACATTGTTTGTTTTGGCATGATATCGGAGACACGATAGTGTGCCTCACAGTCCCATCACTTTCGACCAACCCTTTGGTGAAGCTGAAGCCCTGAATGAAGTAAGTCTTGGTTTCCCCTGGTGCTGAATCTCCCATATCACAGGGGTTCCTTTTCAATTTGAATGGATTTGTTTTATCACAATTATATATACCCAAAGAGCTTAGTTAAGCACCCAATGGCATATCTCACGATTGAATGAGCCCCGATCTTAACCCTTTGGAGCTTATCTGGGACATGATTTGTCGTCGTGTGCATTAAAGGGATCCTCCTGTACAGAACCTGACCCAGTTGGAGCCTTGCTGTAAGTCATATGGAGGTTACACTCGATATGGACCTTGAATCGTGTACGACACGCAAAATGATATTTTGGATGTTCCCATTCACCAATAAATTCAACATTAAACTTTACAGGGTCATACTCGTACAGATATGGTTTTGTATGAAAATCAGTGGGTTTTTTAAAATGAGCATCAACATGGATTCCAATCATTTTGTCGTTTTGTATGAGTCAAAGGATCAGATACGGGTCAGAAAAACAGTGTTTTCCATAGTGGTCAGCACGAAAAGTTTATATACAGGGAGTGCTTAATTAAGTTCTTTTGTATATATTCAAAAGCTACGGCGTGTATATATTCAAAAACTACGTGTTAGTCTGGAGACACGACTGAAGGAGCTTGACGTTACCAGACTAGAAACTGGACGTTATTTCGCCTGAGAATCCAGTTGTGAACCCACACGGATTTAAGCTCTCGTTTCTACATTGATAGCGAATTTGATATATAGGGAGATCTTAACGCCAGTGTCTCATCTTCACTTGACAAATCCATGTTTTGACGTCATGCGTGAGAATCTCGCGAGGTACGAGTTGAATGTGACGTAAATCTACCCAAACACCAAGTCGCATGCTACAATGTTTCGATACATTGAGTTATTTCTGAATATGAAAGGCGTAAATAGGGAGAAATAAATACGGGTTTAATCATGAATAACTATTTTCAAGTGTCTACAACGGCATTCTCTATTTATTTCAGACAAAACAATTTTGCCTACTATCAGCAGGAGTCGTCTCCCACTGTTTTACCAAGAATGCCCAACGGTGTCTTCGGGGGCCTGAACGCTCATGCCAGTTGTTAGAAAAATTGCTTTTAGTTATAAATCACAGAAAAAACGACGGGATAAATTTTCCTGAAATAATATAAATAAACCTTTTTTTATATTGATTTATTTGGTGTTCTTAGAAATAGTGTTTCCTTTCCTTGAATAAGACTTAAAAAAAAACCCGTTTCCATGAGCATTAGAAATCTTGTCTGTTGTACGATTTCGACTAATACCATGACACCACTAAATGATGATGATGATGATGATGATGATGATGATGATGATGATGATGATGATGATACGCTTAATCAACAGGTAAGAATTATACCTCGAATTCGGATTAGAATGTTTTGTTCGCTTGTTTTCTATATTGTTAAACGCTACATTCCAGGTTTTCTTTTATCAACCAAATCGTTACTGTGAGAAATTTAAACTTTTGAAACATATGCAACTTTCTATACAGATAAGTTAATTCCCTCAATACAGGGGAGAGAACGTTGAATGGCGAAGGCGTGAGTTGAGCTTTGTGGGGACGTAAAATTAGTTGGATTTCGTCGACGAGTGTATTTGTGATAACCTCGACTGTATTCAGTAACACTACGTTTAATACGAACACGCATACAACGTTGTCTATTCGAGTAGTTTACTTTATTTGTACGTTTGCTTTCCAGGGAAGAAGACATGGGTTAAACGACGTTCAAGATTATCTCCCTTGTATAGAGAAGTGCTTACTTGAGTGCGTACGGACTAACGTCGGTTCTATTTCAAACTGGTGGACTCACTGATACAGTACTGTGTTTAAATGTTAATACGCCACTCAGGCATTCAGTATTTCTTAACGACTAGTTTAAATAGTATGTGATATATTCCTTGTTGTCATGCTGTCCTCAGCTTTTAAAGTAACAGTTTGTTCCATATTGCAGGTGTAACTTTAAATTCTAATTCAACTTAGTATGTAACACGAGTTCTGATTGGTCAATGCACGTACATTTCCGACCGTATAATCAGCATATACGGTCGCAATTTGAAAACCGATTCACCAAAACCTTTGAATGTATCCCTACACTATTGGGGTAACGCCGCTTTGCGGGACATTGTCATTTGCAGAAGCCATAGGTCAATTAACTCCCCTCTCCAGCTAAAATGGGTGGAATTGTGTTAAAAAAGACAAAACAGTATCATCAATTTTAAGTTCAAACAACTTACTCGCAACGGGCTGTTGACCCAACACTGTTAGATCATGAAACAAGATTTATGACGTCATTATGAAGCGTGACGTCACCTGCTGTGACGTCATTTGACAACAGAACTGATAATGGCCCGTAGTTGAGGAATCAGCGGGCCGCACATTTCTGTAACTAGAGGGCGGTTTCATCATAATTCCGTCTATTTTATCTATAATACTATGAATAATTCTCATTGTCAGTTTTAGTCTGTGTGCACATAATACACGTGTGTAGTTTGAAAAGGTAACTACTTTTTCTGGCGATGGTGTAAGTTCAAGGAGTGATATGATTAACCTTTGATCTAGAGGAACTTTGACCTGGTTTAAATAATGAATTTCTTTCACGAAAAAACAACGTAAAACGAGTTGAATTAGAATGGGGATAACTGTACTGTGTTTAACGAATTGGGGACGTATACTGGTGGTTATACAGCCGCAAATGTAGTTGTATCGGCGACACGCAAGCGGAGCCGATATAACTAAATTTGCGGCTATATAACCACCGGTATACGTCCCCAATTCGTCAAACACAGTACAGTTATCCCCTAATTTTCACACACTCCCTCAGACTTAACAATTTCGGCTGTGATGACAAAAATGATTAAATTAGGGCATACTCAGCAGTCATTTTATAGCTACATGGTATTGTATTTGCAATACTTGATAGTAATACTGCAAAGGCGTTGATGTGATCATTATTGAACCTAAAATGTCTGTATTGTGAGGCAGTGAAACAAGACTTCGGGTGTTGTTATCGCATAGGAATATAATTCCGGTAGACATATCGAGTAGACCGGAGGAAATATCTTGAGGTTGAAATAATTTCCTGTAATGAAATGTTACTGTTCGATTGGTGACAAAATAGTATCAGATTAAAACACTGTCGTGTGGAACAATGATCAGCATCGTGTGGTTAACGAATCTTTTGTGTAGTGAATGAATGACTTTTTCGTTTAGTGTCTAGCGTGTATACAATTATTAATCATTTCCCTAATTTGTATTTTTAGAGAGCATAGCAACACATGCAGAATATTAACTCTGGTATTAAATGTGTCACTTGGGACGTTTAGCGTTAATTGCTTATTCTACCATGGCTACCAAGTTATGATATAACAAACCAGGCTCAAATTTCGAAGTGTAGTAGAGTTAAACACGTATCATTCAGAGTTCAGAAAGTGTCTGGGCCGATTTAGGTCCATAGTTAATCGATATGACCACATTTTCTTGAACATTGATTGTCGTTCATTTTGAACGTAGTGATTCGTCGCTCATTAATTGTACCCGTTCATCTAGTTATATTACTTGCCAACGCTAATAGATATTTAAGTAATATTTATTAATAACACAAAGAAATATTTCGTTTTTTAGATTTCTAAAATATAATAGTAAGTGAGTTTAGTTCTACGTCACCCTCAGCAATATTCCAGCTATATGGCGGCGGTCTGTAAATAATCGAGTCTGGACCAGACAATCCAGTGATCAGTAGCATGAGTATCGATCTACGCAAGTGGGAACGGATGACATGTGTCAACCAAGTCAGCGAGCCTGACCACCCGATCCCGTTAGTCGCCTCTATAAAAAGCATGAGATAAAAACAACATGAGTTTGTCCGTAAAACAACTTCAATACCAAACATCCGATGATCGGAGTCCTTGAAAATAAAAAGGGAGATAAACTCTTGAATCCCTGGCACGCCATGTCCCTCCCCACAGTCACTATACAAGGTGTCAACGTTAACCACTATAAGGAAATGGCGAATGCATGTGGTTATATCCATCCAGGTCAGAATTGCTCTTCTGCAAGTCATGCTTGTCGTAAGAGGTGAATAACGGGATCAGGTGGTCAGACTCGCTGACTTGGTTAACACAATGTCATGTCATCGTATCCCAAATACGTAGGTCGATGCTCATGATGTTGATCACTGGTTTGCCTGGTCCGGATTATTTCCGACATACAGATGGAATATTGCTGCGTGCGGCGTTAAACAACCAACAAAAAACCAGTAATTATGCCTCTGGGTCCGAGAAGATCAGATATGCCTTTAAAACCTCCATTTAAAAAAACCCCACTTCGGTGAGGTGAGGTGAGGTGAGGTGAAATTGGGTTTTACGTCGTTCTTGAGAATACTTCACTCATATGACGACGTGCATGCGTGTGTATGTGTATGTGCGGCTTCTTGTACTAGCCCACACTTAAGCTGGTTTTATAGTGCTAGCCCACTGAGATACCATGAGATACTTCAGAGGGGGTCGCTATCTTATTTAGTAATAATTTTGAACATGCAATACACAAAGTTTGTAAAGACGAAATTGGAAATTTTATTATATTAGACACCACTATTGACGGCATAAGGATGACTTTAGCAAATGTATACGGCCCCAATTCCGATAATCCTCTATTTTACACATCTTTATTTAAGAAAATAGTAGACATGGGCAATGATTCTATCGCGATATGCGGCGACTGGAATCTTGTACTTGATCCATCAATAGAACTTGAAAATTATAAGCATACTAACAATCCTCAAGCCCGCAAGATAGTATTAGACAAAACTGAAGTATTGAATCTTATAGATGCTTGGAGAGAACTAAACCCAGATTTGAAGAAATACATGTGGTGGAAAAGAAATCCACGACAACAGGCTAGACTGGACTTTTTCTTAATAACAGAGAACTTATTTAACATTACTTCAAAAGCCACTATCCAACCGGGCTATAAATCAGACCATTCCGCTATTACTCTTTCGTTGTCTACATGTAAAAATAAAGAAAAGGGCCGTGGATACTGGAAATTGAATGCCTCTTTACTAAGAAACGAAGATTACATTAAAGTAGTGTCAGACTTATTGGAGGAAACGAAACTTGAATACGCACACACTAAATACACAGCCGCGGAGACAAAAGGTATCAGTGATGAAAATATTAAGCTCACTATCAGTGATCAACTGTTTTTAGAAACATTTTTAATGAAAGTCAGAGGAAAAACTATATCGTTTGCTTCGTTCTTGAAGAAAGACAGACAAAAATATCTTAAACGGTTAGAAGAAAGTATTGCCGAAGAAGACGAAATAAGAAACGATTTTCAAAATGTCAGCGAACTGACCTTTGCTAAACTATCCAAGACCAAAATAGAACTCGAAAAATTAAAAGAAGAAGAAATAAGAGGAACCCAAGTACGAAATAGAATCCAGTGGTACGAAGAAGGCGAGAAACCGACAAATTACTTCTGCCACTTAGAAAATAGAAACTATACTAATAAACTCATTAACACAGTCGTAAACGATCATGGCATAGAAATAACTGATGGACAAGAAATAATTAAAGAACAGAAATTATTCTACGAAAATCTTTATAAAGCGGCAGATGAAGTAAGCCCAGAAAGCAAAAGGTTTTTTTTTTCGATCTTGTTACACCATGTTTAGATAAAGATTTATCCGAGGAATTAGATGCAGACATAACCATAAATGAAATTGCTCTTGCCATAAAATCAATGAAAAATAATAAAAGTCCGGGCCTAGACGGTTTTCCTATAGAATTTTTCAAGTTTTTTTGGAAAGATATCAAAACATAGGTTCACCGTTATATTAAGGAAATCTTCAATAACAATTATCTCAGTACAACAATGAATAGAGGAGTGATCACTTGTATCCCTAAATTAAACAAAGACCGAAGATTCCTTAAGAACTGGCGACCTATTTCTCTCTTCAACGTTCTATACAAAATCGTTAGCACTTCTATCACAAATAGGCTAAAGAAGACATTAAATCTACTCATCAATGAAAATCAAACGGGTTTTATTCCAGGACGATGCATATCAGATAACATAAGACTTCTCTACGATATTATGTTTGAAACTAAGAGATTAAATAAAAAAGCTTTATTAATACTGATTGA